TTGCTTACACCATAGAGAAAGAATCTTGCCAGACTAAATCTATACTACTGCAACTAGTGGATATACCCTGGGAGATTCTAGGGAGTGGCTATTCTAAATCTCTTACATTTCCCATGCTCCTGCTCCAGACTGTGCTGTCTCTTGTCTCTCTGTCCTTCCTGGAATGCGCCCCCTCCTTCCTGAGAACCTTGCTTTCTACTGCAGTCCACCACAATCTGGTCTGCCTCGTAAGGCTGACATGAATCTTACAAGTCTGAAAGTACTTCTCTCCCCTTACCCCCTTTATAGCCCAAGAAACTAGGGAGGGTCTCTTATGAGCCTCTTGCACTGCTGTAGGCTAAGCTGCCTTGGTTGTGTCTCATTGCCCTGTCTTCCAAGGTTATTCCCAAATACAATTAAAATTACTTCTACAAAGGCTAGACCAACATCCATTTTGTTATCATTTTGGTACCAGAACAACTTTTCAGAGGAGGAGGAGGAGGAGGAGGAGGAGGAGGAGGATAAATAATTTTATTTCCCTCATCTTTCTTTCTCCTGCTCATAATCCAAATTATAATTATCATCATCACCACTACCATATTAGCATTAGCATTATCACACTTCGTGCACTGATCTTTGTGTACTGACCAGAAGATTCAGCATGGGCCCAAGTCAATTATTTGGAAAACAGTATGAGTAGAAGCCTAAGGCCAAATCAAAATTACATTTCAAATCAATGATTTTCCATCTAGCCATTGTTAAAAGAGGAAAAAAGATAAAAATGAGGTAAAAAGAAGATGGCACCTTTTCACATTCCACATATCACACTAATGGGACTGGCAAACAGCTCTTCCTGGTATCTTTTGTATCTCTTTTCAGCCATCTGCTGGTTGTGCAGAACAGATAATGTAGCTCTATCACTGAAGCCAATTAGCTTTTAAGAGGTCTGGGCGAGGAGGCACACAGCTCTTTCCTTACACTGTTCTGCCTTATCCCAGTATCTGTCACTAGAAACAACTGCCTTGCTGTACATAACAGTAGAACTGCTCCTCCTCTATGGAGGGAAATCTCAGACTTACTTAGTTGGACGATAATCTGGTATGGTGCGGTCCAGTGATATTTTCTCACTGAGATAGGAATTGTAGCCATATTTCTCATGGGGTCCCTTGGCTTTCTCTTCCTCCTCTGGAGAAAGTGTGGCAGGCAAGCCACCTTTGCCACGACCACCGTAGCCTTCAATCAGCCCCAAGGATTTTGACAGACCTGGAGAACAACAAACCAAAGAAGAGACATACAGAAAAGAGTCAGTCTTGAATGGAAACATTGGAAGCTAGGATATCTACCTTCCCTTGAAATAGGTCAATAGCTATAGAAAATCACCATCAGAATAGCATGGCTGTACTGCCAGTCTATATAAAAAGGAAGGAAAGGAATATTGGTTGATCCAACTTGTAAATAGTCTATAGGAAGGTCAATCTTACCTCTCTCACAGGTGACAACAGAGGAAGGCAAAGGAAGGGACCCAACATCATTTCCTCATGCAAATAGCACCCATTATTTATTTTATTTATGTATCATATTTATATGGCTGCCATCTCACAAAACATGACTCTGGGCGGTGTATAATCAAACCATAAAAACAATTTTTAAAAAAACATTCAACAAATACAAAAATTAAAATTTAGTATTAAAAGGCTAGGAGAAAGTGTCACATGTAACTAACTATGTATATAAATTGTGCAATTTCATCATTTGCATTATGATATCATGATAGATGTAATTTCATTGTGGTTTCTGCTGGATGCCTTTACTTATCCTTGTTCATGGGCATTTGCTAAAATGAGAGATCTCAGAGATTGAAGACTACCTTGAGAAGACCAAAGATGTTATCTCATTGTGGCAAATCATACCAAAATGCTGAATTTCAATCACTTTTTGCAATGAATCTGGGGAAGCAAGTGGATAAATGGGAAGAAGAAAGAACTGAAATAAAGTTTGCCAAAACATTGAAAAGACAAGAATGTCTCATCTCTAAATTGTGAAATCTGGTTGAAAAAACTGGACTTCAGATAGTAATTTTGCCCTTTTAACACCAACCAACATCTTTTTCTAGTTGGTCAAGATAGCACGTATGTTTCTTTCCTCCAGGGTCTCTTTCTAGCTTCAAAATAACCCTGTAAAGTAAATCAGAATTATTCCAAATGAGCAAGGACAACAGGGAATGGTTGTTGACACTCCAGGAGCCCCAATCACAAGCCGTGGGTATGAATTCCCAGTAGCTTTCCAAAAATTGTTACTGAACTAAAAATGTTAATGTGACAGAAGAGGAAACTATTAAACACATGGGAAGCAATCATATTCAATTTATATTGTTGCCTTTTAATGGATATAAATTAAATTCAATCAAATCCAAGGGAGTTTTCATCCTGATCTCACTCTTTTTTCCTAACCCAACCAACTTTGGGGAGTGTGGTTCCCACCATACCATTCAAAGAGCATATGAAAAAAAGGTCATGTGCTTTTGAAGTAAAGATTCATGGGAAGTTGGTCTTAGCCTGGGTTTCAATTCTAGGTCAATATTTTGACCACGCCACCCAGAGTATGCCAAAGTACCCTTCAGCACTGCCTCTTCTGATTCCATCAGATACATTTTTTCACCAGAGAAGTTATTAGTAGTCCCTAGTTTGGGGGAGGGGGAGGGAGGGGAGGGAGGGGCATGGCCTAAGTGCTTAGATCCCTGCTGTATGGAGTAGTCTCCCCACACAAGCTAGCTTGGCACTAACCCTAATGGAATTTCAAAAGCTAGTTAGGAGAAAGTGGGTGTTTTCTGTTTGAGTTGGATGGGTTGTTACTGTCATTTAAGAGTGTTTAAACTTATTGCTTATACTTGTATTTTATATTATATTTTATACTTATTGAGAAAGCCAGTTTGGTGTAGTGGTTAAGGCCTCAGGCTAGAAACTGGGAGACCATGAGTTCTAGTCCCTCCTTAGGCATGAAGCCGGCTGGGTGACCTTGGGCCAGTCTCTCTCTCAGCCCTGGGAAGAAGGAGGCAAAGGCAAACCGCTTCTGAAAAATGTTGGCAAGAAAACTGCAGGGACTTGTCCAGGCAGTCTACAAGAATCAGACATGATTGAACAGATTAAAAAAATACTGATTGCTAATTGTCATACTTTATTATGCTTTATATTTTGTGAGGTTAACCATCGGGAATCTACTACGTGATTAAGGTGGTGTACGTATTTAAGGCTGGGAATTTTCTTCACCCACAAAATTGCTGTTGGATTCAGTTTTGCACCGAATGATCATCGTTGCCTCTTTTCAAGAAAAAAACACAACTGACAAAGAATGGGCTACATGCACCAAAGCCAATGCTACACGCATAATTCTTTCTAATCAAGTTCATACCAGCCCATTTCTCCAAGAGTTAGCAAGCGTTTAAAAAGAATGAAAGCAATGAAAAATGTGCATGTATTTTCAAGTCCTCTTCACCTTATCTATCTATCTATCTATCTATCTATCTATCTATCTATCTATCTATCTATCTATCTATCTAT